TGCTGGTAAAAGGCTAATCAGTTTACTATATGACATTATCAGTTCTGATTCTTTACCGGGTTTAGGTATTTAAACAATATCTGCTACTTTCTATTGGGAAGTAAAATAGCAGAGACGCAAGTATGCAATAAAAATAATTGTTAGGTATCTTATTGCAATTGAAGGTAACATTTTAATCATTTTTCTTGTGATATTATCAGAATCGGGAGCTTTTCTAATCTTAATTTAATATTGTTAAATTAAGATTATTATTGATAATTATAATTATTATAAATAATAACATTATTAATAATTTGTAATACTTCATTTACATTCATCAATTTGCCTATTTATTACCAGGTCTTCTGATAGGCGGTATAATTGAAGTTGGTCGTTGAAGTCGTTTAGTAGGTTTCCATAATGAGTAATCTGTTGCTTCTGTAGAACTCAGTGATCTGAGATAACACGACGCTTGTGTATTTTTTTCTTCATATAACATTTTCTTTAGATCTTTAGTTGCTTTATTAACCCATTAAGGCCCAGGCCAAACCTGGGAAAGATAGCGCCAAACTAACTATGCCAATCGTAGCTAAATCGAAAAAAAAATACCCCTGTTTTTTCTTTTGCCGTTTGCAATTGTTTATAAAAAATTATTTAAACAAATTATCAAAAAGTTATTATTTTCAAAAAACTGATAGCGGCAATCGATTCTACGGGAAAAAACATGAAAGAAATGTATATAACGTTTTTTTGTCAGACGTCAATTTGTTTAAGAAAATAGGACAGAAAGCTTTGAATTTTCAGAAATTGTACATTTGAAAATTTGACTAACATAGTAATTGTTGGGTTACGAAGTTGCAAAGAGTTTGCAAAATTTTTTTTCTATTGAAACCGTGTTAGAGATCACGTTTGAGTGGCGGGCTAACGGTTTTATGTAATATTATGGATTCAGTTTTCATTACAAAAGTTTTTAGTATATTTGGACATTTCTAGTACATTTATTTTACAGTTATTTGTTTTTGGAACAAATTGACATTTGACAAAAAACGTTATATACATTTCTTTCATGTTTTTTCCCGTAGAATCGATTGCCGCTATCAGTTTTTTGAAAATAATAACTTTTTGATAATTTGTTTAAATAATTTTTTATAAACAATTAAAAATGGCAAAAGAAAAAACACGGGTATTTTTTTTTCGATTTAGCTACGATTGACATAGTTAGTTTGGCGCTATCTTTCCCAGGTTTGGCATGGGCCTTAATGGGTTAACTTTACTTTTAACTTGACTTGATCTAGTTATTTGATACCTTTTTCTTAATAATCTCGTTTCTTCGATTTTTTGGGCTATTTAAGTCGAAGTGGTTTGTTGTGTTTATTGTAGTAGAGCATTTGTCAATAGTTTCAGTTAGTTACGTTGATTGAGTTGATGCTGCTTTCTATATTGCTGTTTTATGATATGCATTCCTCTATGTTAAGAGCATATTTTTTCCAGTCGACTTTTATGTTATTGTTCACTTTATTAAATACTTGATGGTTTATGGTAATTAGTACTATACAATTATATAACTGTACTATAAAACGACTTCCAAGTATCTTGAAAAAGTCAATCTATTTTTTTTTTTTTTTGTAATTGTCTTGTTTGGAGGACAGTAAGCAGCTGATATTGTTATCGATTCATCTTTATTCTTGATGATTACACTGGTTGTTTGTAAATAAACTTTACTTGTGTAGGTGCTTATTCTCATCGGTATTTTTCCCCAATTCCCCCTCTCTCGACAAGGCACGGTGACCAGCGTTAGGCGCATTTAAGAATGCGCCTAATGCATGATCTTTGTTTCAGCCGACGGAGATTGCCGAGCGAGGCCGAGCCGGCCTGAAGCCATTAAGTTGACGGCTAAGAGAGGTATTAGAAAAAGAGAGAGAGAGAGTAAGTGACGTGCGTGCCCCACGCAGGATTAGGCAGGCGTGCGACGCGTAACCAATTAGCGCGTTGGTCTCGCGCTGTTTAATAAGTAGGTGAAGTGGGGAGAAAAAGAGCGAGCGAGGTAGCTGACAATTGCGGAAGCGAACGAGCGATAGAAGGTTTTCAGTCGATCAGAGGGACTGATCATTAGTCGGTCGGAGGTAGAGACGGTTCTAAGTCGATCAGCGGTACAGACGGTTTTTAGTCGGTAGCGGTGCAGAGTTGAGTGTGCAAAGGTTAGCCGAACGCACACGCCGCCAAGGACCTGAGACGAGAAGCCGAGGAGAAACAAAGGACAAGAGCCTTTTTCCAGCATCTGCTAGAGACGCTACCCGGAGGAGCCGGCAAAGAATTGCCCAGCGACGGCCAGCAACACCATCCACAGTGCGCAGCCAGGCCTCTCGTTCCTGCATCGATAAGGTCAAGGCTCTTAATCTAATTTCTTTCTCTCTCTCTCTCTCTCTCTCTCTCTCTCTCTCTCTCTCTCTCTCTCTCTCTCTCTCTCTCTCTCTCTTAGCGGAATGGCACAGCAAGTAGTCGTAAGAGTCAGATAGGTAATTAAGGCTACCTGCCTTAATTAAGGTCGGCGTCATAAATTTGTTCAGGTAGCTTACCGTTCAGGCAATCCTGTCACCGGGCGACATGTTTATAAGTCGGTTAGATTTGTATGCGCGATAATTTGTTCTTTGTTCTTTTATTGTAGTAGATGTTAAGAACATCGTTGTATTCTGTAGAGTTAAGACGTGCTTGTAACACCGTTGTGTTTATTAGAGGTTAAGAGTTTGTATAGTTGGTTATAAGTATTATTATACGGTTTCTTCATTTACAGTATTTGAAGTGTGATTTGATTTTGATTAGATTTGATGTGATTGGGATTTTGTGTGATTTTTAATTAATTTCATTGCTTCCCCCCCCCCTCCTCGATTACTATGAGCGAGTGCGCCTCACTTGCCGACCCTTAAAAATTAATCACGAGCAAGCTGTCGTTACAGCTGTATTGGTTTATTTTAGTTTTGATAATAATCGTAGTACCTCTGTGTACTTTATTAAGTGGATAATAGGCTTTATGTACCGTGTAGTTTGATACATTAAGATAGTTTTCACTTGTAAAGTGTATTTCTGATATCAACATGATGTCTATATTTTTAAAGATTAAATATGCTTTTAATTCAATATGCCTCTGCATAAGTTCGTTTGCGTTCCAGATAGCGAGTTTAGACTGCTTATTATGCCATTTTGTTTTCTAGTACAGTTAAAAGATTTAACATAGTATCCATTTTTTGCATTAGAAGCTCTATATTATGTTTGAGTATATTATTTGTGTTTACTTCTTTAGTATATCTACTTAGCTCTGCTTGAACAACGGTTTGCTTCGATATCTCCCTCTGATTTTATCTCCCTCTGATCGTTTTGTTTTGGTATTACCTGTGCATATTAAGTATATTAGTATTAATTAAATATATTAATATATATAAAACCAACTGTTATATTTGGTCTAACTTCGTTGACGTTAGCATTAAAATTTTTGTTTTCTTTTTATTTCCAATTTTATTTATAATCTGTCTTTTCGACAATGAGTAAAGATTTTTACAATAATTCAATAATTAGTTACAATCTTAACATTTTACATTTTCGAGAGATCATAAGTATATATTGAGTATAAAAGAAGGCCAAGTACATTCCCCTGAGGGGCGTCGGCTTTTATTGGATGAAAATTGGTTGTTTCATTATTCATTATTACCTTAAAGGTTCTACAGCTTAGATACGATTCTAGTAGCAGGAATAGTTCTTTTGGAAAGATTTTATTTAGTTCTTGATGCAAAATTTTATCAAACGCTCAAGCTACATGTAGAAATACTGCATTACAAAATCATTTTTTTTCAAAAGCATTTCTTATTTTAGTAGTAACTTTATTTATTTGTTCTATTATGGCATGATTATTACGAAAACCCAATAGATGGACAGGTATTATGGTTTGATCTTGTATGACTTTGTTTACTCACTTAAGTATTATTTTTTCTGAGAATTTAGATAGCGTAGGGAGTAGACTAATTGGCCGGCAAGATGTGACATGTTGGAACGGTTGACCTGGTTTTGGTATGAGTGTTGCATCCTGATACGTAAGCTCTACTTATTTTGAGGTCTCCGGCAATGAAGCAAGCTCAAAGTAGCAAAATAAGCACTAAAATGTATTACATCTTTACGAAACACAAAATTGTCAAACTAACCGAACCCAGCAGAATTCCAACCCTGAAATCGTAACACTGACATATTAACTTTTTGATTACTCGACAAATCAATGTAGGCTAATGAGTCAATATTCAATATATAAAAAAGCGTACCAATTTCTTTCGGCAGTTGATTCGTGACGCGCGGAAACACAATTGTATTAATTCAATTACAGCTCACGGAGTGAATCCTATTTATCAAATAAAGTAAGATTTTATTAGTGATCTTAAATACAGTCGAACCTACGGCACTGCACCCTTCGGCACTGCATTGCCCGAGTCACTGCGCGCCTCTATACCCTAGAAACTACACGTTGCGCAGTACCGTCATTAGTAGCCCACTCATCGGGGGGGCCCTCTTTACCGAGCAGGTAATGTCTCTGATCAGGCGCAGATAATAAAACGATTTAAAGTTTATGACTTCGCTCTCTTCTTCTCTCTACTTCTCTTGCTTCTAGCTTCTATTAGTAAGATTTCTGTGTTCAGTCTATGTTTAATCTCGCAGTGGCAAGTTACACATTTTCGTTTTCGCTCTACGTAAACATTATATTTCGTATAATATTCAATGGAGTTTTAGTATATGTACATGTAAATCGTACATAAATATATACATATAGTTATATACACACATACATATATTTGTGTATAAATATAAATATGTACGAAATTTGAGTGTTTTAAAGTGAATATTCATTTTGAAGATGTAAGTAGCATACATATATTTTTTATTTATTCAATTTTGAAATTTCAAATACTAAATTTTTTCCTTTATTCATTATTGAGTTTATGAATACTTATTGAACTTCTTTTTTTTCTATTCTTCAGATTATTATGGCGAAGAGTTTGACTTCATCTCAAATTTCTGATGTACAACGGAAGGTGCTACTTGAAAAGAAGAAGATGGCTAACGTTGCCAAAGAGTACAATGTGTCGCCGAAAACGATCAAGCGATTTAGTTTTGATGAAAACACACCGTTGAACCAGCAATCCACAGGAGTTAGGAAGCAGCAGATTAACTTGACAGTGCAGCAGAAGAGAGATATTCTGACAAAAATTGACAAAGGAGAAAAAACGCAGGATTTAGCTGTGGAGTACAGTGTTGATCCCTCGACTATCCGGAGAATCAAGACGAGCAGATCGGCGATACTGAAGAGAGCCCAAGAATTGGATGATAGCCAGCAAGTTTTGAGCAGCAAAAGAATTCGTGTCGAAGAAAATTTGCGAGAAAAGGTTTTGTTCGAGTGGTTCAAGCAGCTGCGCGCCGCAGGAGTTCCAGTAACGGGTGATCTTCTCAAACTCAAGGCTTTGGAGGTCAATAAAATCATCGGAGGACCAAGTGACTTCAAGGCAAGCAACGGTTGGTTGGATCACTTCAAGAAAACGTACGGCATCCGTCAATTATCGATGCAAGGTGAAAAACTGTCGTCTGACACCACTGCGGCAGACGAATTCAAGATATGGCTCCAAAATCATCTTCGAGAAAATAGCTACGAAGAAGATCAAGTTTACAATGCCGATGAAACTGGTACGCATTACAAATCATTGCCAAAGAAGACATTAGCAGCTGGCACTGAAAAACAGGCATCGGGATTTAAGGAGCTGAAAGAGCGTGTGACAGTGATGTGTTGCGCCAATGCATCGGGCACACACAAAATCACTCCTTTGGTTATCGGCAAATCAAAAAGTCCGAGATGTTTTGCGAAGTTCGAGAAAGAGAAGTTGCCGGTAACATACATGAACTCCCTGTCAGCTTGGATGGATAGGAAACTATTCATGGATTGGTTCAAGGACGTTTTCATCAAGGAGGTACACGAGAAACATCCAGAAAGCCGAAAGGTTTTATTACTGCTTGACAACGCTCCGTTGCATCCGCCTGCTGCTGAGTTGAACGCAATCAATGATACAGTACAGGTGTTATTCTTGCCTGCAAACGTGACAGCCCTGATTCAACCTATGGATCAGCGGGTTATTGAAAAGATGAAGAGAATGTTAAGAAAGAAGCTGCTACGAGAGCTGATTCTGCAGCAGGAAGGAGAAAGTATCATCGAGTTGGCTAAAAAGCAGACAGTTAAAGATTGCTGCTACCGAATTGCGAGCTCTTGGAACTTGGTGACTGAGCAGGACCTTCGCAATTCGTGGAATAGGATTTTCGGCCGGGCTACTTCTGAACAAAACAATCAAGTATCGAGTGAAGACGTCAATCAATTGGTTCAATTACTCCAAAGTGTTCCTGAATATGCTGACTGCACTTTTGAAGTTGCAAAAAATTGGATCGTCGAGGACTATCAAGTGAATGGATGGAAAATTTTAGATGTCCAAGAAATTTACGAAAGGTATAAATTAAAAAACCTGTGAATCTATACTTGACATTTTGTAATTATTTAATAAAATTAAATTTTTTTGTTTCAGAATTACATCGTCAAATCAAGTTGAAGCCGAAGATTTAAGCGAAGAAAATTCTATTCATGAAGATGAAGAATCAAGTGAGTCTCTTCCAAAGGAAATTTCTACTGAAGAAGCTTTTAATGGTCTGATGAAATTCAGAGCGTGGTTTGAAAGGAGATTTGAATCAACTTCGACCCATCTGAACAATATTCAAGAACTCATGGATATTACAATGGATATTTACAATAGTGCAGTATAATTTTTCATTTAGAATGATTTTCAAAATATTTTTATTTATAATGATTACGTTTTTAGTTTCTTATATTTAGCTTTTTTAATTTATATTACGATATAATAATTTTGAATTTTTACAAGAAACATTGGTATTCAATTTTGTGACAATATGTTTTACATTGATTGTAGATATGTGAAATTTTATTAAATGTATATAATATTCTGTATTTATATTTTTTAAAGATCTTTGTAATGGTTCGAAAAATAATAAGATTAAATTAACCTATTATGAAGTTATTTATTATGCACTCTAAAGTTATTCACAAAAGTTAATTAATTATTTTGTATGGGAAAATTTAAAAATAATTATTTGTGAGAGAAAAACTCCTATATTTTTGTATTTAAAATGGTTTTTTTCATTCAACTTTTCAAATTTTTTATCAAAATTAAAAAAGGTAATTTTAATTGAATTATTTTAATGCTGACAAAATCCAATAGTTCTATTGAATAAAAAAATTATCCTGCTTAATTAATGAACTACGAACAATTGCGCGAAAATTTTTTTGGGGCTCTTTTAGTGCTATGCCCGTACCTGGCGCAGCGCTGTGATTGGCTACCGCCAGCGTGCAGTGCCTTGGATCGGCTACTCCCGAAAGCGTGCAGTGCCGTAGGTTCGACTGTATTGTGTTTAAAATTCATTGTTACAATTCCATTGTATTAATTCAATTACCGCTCACGGAGTGAACTTTATTTATTAAATAAAGTGAGATTTTACTAGTGTTCTTAAGTATTGTGTTTAAAATTCATTGCTACCACTTCCATTGGGATTAATAGGAAGACATCCATCAACGAGAATAAGAATCGAAAATAATATTCCTCTAATAAAGAAGGATCCAGATTATCTCGCAACAAAGTAAGAGTTGGAAATAATATTTCTTTGATAATCAACAACCCAGGTAAATCCTGTTATTATCTATCTGTCTATCTATATATATACTTTTCACATATATCTCGACCATACCGTCTCAACCCATTTCTTCCCAAGTGACCATGAGACTACCGATTCGTTTATCGTCTTGTAAAATGGGTAGAATCGCTTGAAATCGACATGCAAAATACTATTTCCGAAGCAAAAAGACTTGCTCTTTCCGAATCTGCAAACAATTTTCAAAATTTTGCGATCCAAAAATAATATGGCTGCTCAAACTTAGTGAAAATTTCATTTTTTATTTTAACTGAATTTCTTTTTTTTTCGAGTAAAGTATGTAACGTCTACCTACTAAACAATTTTATTTCACTATTAGTATGGTTGTAGGACTTCTGTTATCGATTATTGATATTTTTGAAAATCCAAAATTTAAAATAGCGGACGAAAAATTGAAAAATTCTGAAAAATGAAGGAAAACGAGAAAATATATATTTCTTGTGTTTTTGAGAGTGCTGATTTGATATCTGGTGTTAATTTTTGAAAATTCCTACATCGAAAATCAATATCGAGCATTCGAAATGGCTGATAAACTTAATTTATTTTATAAATATATTTTTTCTAGCGAAAATCCACAGGTTTAACATTCATTAATTTTCTAAATAATAAAAGTTACATTAAAATTATTTCAAATCATATTTCACTTATAAAACGGCCGCTAGGTGGCGAACAGTCATTTTTTTGTACTTGCAGTAAAATCTGCAATCCTAAATCCATATAGGTACCCGATATTTTCCGCAAATTTGTATACTTAAAAAAAATAAACTACAAAATTTATATTACTATTGTATTACAATAATAATAATTTATATAAAAACTTCGACTACTACTGCGATTGATTTATTATAATATTTTTGAACCTCATATATTATAATTTTGAATAACTTTACAAAATAACATCTGGTGTAAAGTATGCAAAAAAAAAACGCAAAGCAATCCGACAGTAGTATTACTATTGAAACTACTGAGCTTATGGATTTAGATTCCGATCATGTTGACGGAACAGATAAAACGTTTTCTAATTTACCCGAAAGTTTATTTAGAAACGTTGCTGTGATTCCTGGTGATATTGGAAGTGGAGATGAATCAAACAATGAAAACGATTCAGTTGGCAGTGTTCAGATTATTGAAGGACGCAATTGTCCAGAAGGGTATCAAATAGTTGACGAATCCCTCATTTCTTCAAAAAAAAACTAGAACCTTCACATGAGTATGTATGGAAAGATGGAGAAAAATTTTATTATTCTCTAACAAAATCAGAAATATTTTTGGATGAGGAGATAAAAAATAATTTGTGTGAAAAAACATGCGATAAGTTGTTTGAGTTATTTTTTTCAGATGAAATAAAAGATTATATAATTGAAGCAAGTGCTGAAAATGATTTAGATATTGATACTGATGATTTGAATAAATTCATTGGGATAGTTATGTTTTCTATTATCAACAGTCGTAAATGTTATAGGGATTATTGGTCTACCGATTCTTTGTACCATTCCGATACAGTTTCTGAAACCATGTCGCGTAATAAATTTGAAAATATAAAAAAAAAATTTAAAATGAATAAAAAGGAAGACAGAAATGATGCAGATAGAGTATGGAGAGTCAAAAAAATAATAAACATTTTTACAAAAAATATTTAGCAATTTGATTTTTTTTGTTCTGCCCTTTCGATCAATGAGATGATGGTTAAATTTTGTGGTCGTACCATACTCAAACAATTTATAAGAAATAAACCTGTACGATTTGGAATAAAGCTTTGGGCGCTTTGTATAATTCAGGGATATTTATTAGATTTTAATATTTACTGTGGTCACGATTGAAGTAGCGAAGAAAAATGTGCTTTGGGTTCTAGAGTAGTGATAAAAATGTTAAAAGAATTTTTTCAGAGAAAGTCGGCAGATGAAATTTTGAAATACCACGTCAGTTTTGACAATTATTTTAGTTCACCTGATTTACTCGTACGATTGAAAAAACATGGTCTCAGAGCAACTGGGACAGACGAGCGAGTTTTTACTAAAGATATGTTCAAAGAATTATTAGCTTCTAATCAAGAGAAAAATAAAAGAAAAACAAAGTCTCTAATTTCAAATAAAGTTAAAACTGTTGACTAGAAAAGATTGACTAACAAACAAACAGCTAAAAAACAAGCAGTTAAAAAAGTAAAAGAAAAATATACGAAAGCAACGAAAAAAAATAATACAAAAAATGTAAAAAACAAAATAAATAATCTAACAAAGAAAAAATCAACTTTGAAAGCAGGCAAGCAAACAAAACAGAAAGCTAACAAACAAGAAGTAGTTTCCGAACTTGATACTTTAAAAAAAAACATACCATCGATAAAAAATCTGAGCGTGATACTTATGTAGTAACTCACGAAGTAAATAGTGGCATAAACTATGTTACAGTAAAGGACTCTAAAAATGTTTCTATCATTTCAACTGCAAGTTGCGTTACACCACGATCTGAAGTGGAAAGAACTGATAAAAGTATAAAAATAAAAAATTCCACTAGAGTTTCCTTTGGATTTTATAATTTATAATATGTTTATGGGAGGTGTTAATCTTCATGATCAACATTACAGTGATTTTCGACGAACTATTCATGGTAAAAAGTGGATATGGCCTATGTTTTGTAGGTTTATACAATCATCACTAACTAATGGTATGGTCTTATATAATTTAGTGCATAGTAAGAAAATATCAGCTAAAGAGTTTGTCTCGAATGTCATAAGAGTATACTTGAAACTAAGCGAAGAATCACTATCTCACCATTCATTCGTCATGATTCCTAAGGCACGCAAAGTATGTAAGGTATGTAAAGATCGAACTACTTATTATTGTTATGATTGTAAAGAACATTATTGTGTTCAATGTTTCAGATCCTACCATTGTTTGCATCAAAGTTCTCAAAGATATACACAACAAACATGTAAATCAGGAGAAAAGTGTGATAACCAACGTACTAACAACTTTTGCGAAAAATGCGATAAATACATATGTTGTAAATATTTTGACAGTTATGATCATACTATTTCAACATCTCAGTAACTCAATTATTTACTACTACTATTCACTAAACATAATTTTTACACTGAAAATGATTTATAACTATATATAATGAAATATCAATTTATTAGCTTCAAAAGCATATAAAAATGTGTACTTTATAAAAAAAAACTCAAGTAAAAAAAAATTAAGTTTATCAGCCATTTTGAATGCTCGATATTGATTTTCGATGCAAGAATTTTCAAAAAGTAACATAAAATATCAAATCAGCACCCTCAAAAACTCAAAAAGAATGTATTTTAGCAAAAAACTTTGATTTTTCGAAAAAATTCAATTTGGCAGCCATTTTGAATGCGCCATATTTGTTTTCGCTATAATGCTTTTTTGAGATAGCTTTCAATATCTTTTATTTCGTAGCTACCAGTCGGTAAAGTGATAGCTTCATGATCTTCGATGTAAAATTTATTATTACCAACGTCAATGTTTGGTATTGAATTAAATGTTAACAGCTCAACTAGACCAAGAACGTATTTTTTGTTTAGTGTCAATTCGATTGATGGTAAGTAATGTGTTTCGAGTAATGATGATGCTCCCAAGAGACTTAATGTTAGTGTATTCTCCATGAAAGATTAATATCAAATGACTACTTTAAGCTTTTTTTTAAAACTTTTTCCACTTGCATATGGTTTCAGATAAAGACCATAACTATTACGATGCAATCTCAAATAAAGTCTAATAGCAATAGCTTCCATAGTTTTATTGGGCCTTTGAGTCGCTTTCAAACCATTTTGAGCGATCTTAGTACTGTTAATGGCTTTTCTATTGAGGCAGCTCCTCCAACTAGAGCTCTGGTGGCTCTCAAAGTCGCAAATAATGGAATTTAAAAAGCTAGAGCTCCATCCACTTTATTTGGAATCGGTAGAACACGAGGGTTATTTATTTTTTTTCTACCTCCAGCTTTCTTCACTGATTCTATAGGGGCCTTTATAGACGAATGAATAACAAAGAGTGATCTGTTACTGGGTACAAAACTTC